TGGTAGACTCGAGTTTCTTATACTCTTGGATAGTGATCACTTCATCCTTAACTACATGCGGTTCACATGATGTAATATAATTATCAGTAGTGTCTACAGAAAAGCGTCCCGATTTGTCTGTTTGATAAACAACTATTTCTTTCTCTTTGCATCGTTTCATTAACGACCGTAATCCTCTACTCTCTCCCATCAAGATTTGACCATCGACTACACCTCCCTTGTTCTATGTAAGAGTCCACCGATTTCATCATCCTAGATTTCAAATGTTGTAAGSCAATCTCTTCATTATGTTCTAATGGTGGTGGAAGATATACCCTCTTGTTGCAAGGCAGGTCCGTAGCCCTCAAACTTGTCATAGATACAAAGGGATTTTCGTCACTATCACCACTTTCCTCTACTGCTAGCACATCCTCATTCTTGGGCGTCTCCTTACTTTGATCCCACCGATACTTCGCCAAGCCTTTTTCAATCTGCGCTTCAATTGATACTGAATCCGGCTTGGAATAAACAACAAACTTTGGCGGTAGACTCAAAACTCTTTTGCTTTCTTTCATTGTGCGTTTCATGATCATTTCAATCTCTTCCGGATTGTTGCATTTTCTAGAAATCTTTTTAAATCTGATCACTAAAGAGTTTGTAAATTTCATGCTATATGTTAAACTGTTTTCGTTTTTAAAATCACCTCCTTCGACACACTACACCAAGACTTTGAATGAAACATGTTTCGTCTATTAGACCTTTTCAATCATTGTTACGTTACACAGTTGACTACGCTTACAAAATCTAGCTGCACGCGCTTAACACAACGTGCGCGCGCGAACACTAATAACCTACAAAAAAAWGACTACAACAATAAAATAAAATAAATAACAAAGTTTGTAGCGGCGTCAGCTCCGTGAGGTAGGAGAGATCCGTGAAACTAAAGTGAAGGAACTCAYGAATTCCACAAGGCTTGTTTATTGTGTAAACGTTAGGCGAAGGTAGCTTCTAGTTGTTACAATGTTGAAACCCGTCGAATTTCTATGAGCTTGTGAAATTACAAATACATGGTTTGCGATATAAAAGCTGATGTCACGTGACTGCGGGCTGTGGTACATATGTCAGTGACGTAAAGGAAATTATGGATACGAATTATACTATCTAATTAAAAACTATAGGCAGATGCCGTTACACTGCTTCCCTAAATGTAACTACATTTATAATRATMTGGTTATATAAAGCATGCATCGAATAGAATTATTGTTCATTTCAACGATATTGAATCAAAATAGCTGATTATAACTGGAGATATATGCATATGTTGAGTAAATGATAAGAGTATATGTTATCGTCCTATAAATACTGAATATATGTTAATGTCCATGCACATTCTTGCGCTTTAACAATCTTCTTTTGGTACTAAGAGGACCAACTTGTGGATCGGTCTGTCGAAGTTCTTTCGTTGACCATSTTTAACGATTGTGACCGTAACTTTGCGCACGAGGTTATCGGTGCTTGGGTGTGTTCTGGCGACGATAGCCAGCGACCATTGATTGCGAGGCAGCTCGTCGTCTCGTAKCAGTACTATGTCTCYTTCTTATGGCGCGTGGATGGAGTCAAAAATCGCTTTAGTAAAATGAATGATGCATTTTCGAAATGAATGAGTCACTACGAAATGAATGGCACACCGCGATATGGTTTTCGGGAAGACAACAGGAAACCCACACTCTCTCATTTCCAGGTCCCCAACATAAAAACTGTCATGGCGGAAGCAGTGGATGAATTGAACGATCTTCTTCGAAGTTCGTTGCTCGATATCTCCCGTCAGCTTCAGTCCTACTTATCCGAAGAACTACTAGATGGTACTGTTTATCGGCTGCAGCAAATTTGTCGTCACTTATTACTTCTTTCGGGAGCAAAWAATAACTTTAACGATATAATTGAGAACATCAATTCTGTGTTAAACCAACTGTCATCATGCGAAAGCCAGCTCGTTTTGAATTCGTCTGGTTATAATGCTCCAGTATCTATGAATGGAAATCGAGGACGACCGAAGTATGAAATAAGTAAAGAGCAGTTAGAGTATTTTCTTTTCTACGATTTTCGTGTCAAAGATATTGCTGACGCCCTTGGCGTTTCAAAGACTACAATTCAACGACGTTTATGTGAGCATGGAATTTCTGTAACCTCAACAATGTCCMATCTTACCAACGAACAACTAGATGATGAAGTGAGACAAATCAAAAGCAATTTCCCGAATGCCGGTTATCGCCGTGTTTTGTCTCAGCTAAGCTGTCAAGGAATTAAAATACCTCAGTCTAAGATTAGAGAATCAATGCAGCGAGTTGATCCACTTGGTGTTGCTCAGAGGTGGTTATCTCTTACTCCAAGATGCACATATAATGTGCCGGGTCCTTTATCACTCTGGCACATTGATGGAAATCATAAATTGATCAGGTAGGTAACTGGTACAGGAGCTTGGAGTAGCTGTCAACTTTGTTACATAGCATGCTAAAATAATAGTAGTGGTATTATAATTTGCTATTCTAGTATAATTTATCAATATTTTGTACTATAAATATCTCATACTTTTAATGGACATTTCATTTGCAATCAAAGTAAAATCATTTTCATTTTGTTTTCATAGATGGAGATTGGTGGTTCATGGAGGTGTGGATGGATATACACGAATACCAGTTTATTTGAAGTGCAATACAAATAATCAAGCCAATACTGTCTTGAGTTTGTTTTTGGAAGCTGTAAATATGTATGGCCTTCCTTCCAGAGTGCGATCGGACAAASGGGGAGAGAATGTTGATGTTTCCCTTTATATGTTACATCACCCTAATCGTGGTCCCGGTAGAGGCAGTATGATTACAGGCCGTAGTGTCCATAATCAACGTATAGAGCGTCTTTGGCGAGATGTTTACGATGGAGTACTGTATATGTATTACAACCTATTTCATCATCTTGAAAATTGCTCTGTGTTGGATCCCATAAGTGAAACAGACCTGTTTGCATTACATTATGTATTCAAGCCAAGAATTAACCATCATCTGTCAATGTGGAAGGATGGATACATCCGCCATCATATCAGAACTGCAGGTCATAGGACACCAATACAGCTGTATATTTTAGGACTGCTTCAAATGAGAGGAACTCAACAACTACCTGCACAGGAAGTTTATGAACAATGGAATCAGGTACATGTACATGTACTTCATATTGCAACTCACAGAAAATAATAAACCACACATGAACAAGCATTGTTGAACAATNTTATAATTCAAGTAACACATCAAATGAAGTACAAATGATATAGTAAACAAGTAAAGTGGATTCATATTTTATTTTTACTTATCATTGTTAATCAAACATTCAACGATATTTAACACAATTGAACATTAATTGGTCCCATTAAATGACAATTGGTTTGGCACTTGAACACATTCATTCTCATAGCAAAGAAAATACAGAATCAAATGAACTTGTAATTCAACCGAATCAAATGTTTGAAAAACKTCACAAAAAATAATTGGACAACATTGGACTTTGATTTTGGAATCCAGATTACTTTATCATTAATGAACATGAATGCATAAATGTAACAATTAAGAATTGGCTAGGCAAAAATGGTGATGCCTACACAAGGAGTGTCCATGAGCTTCTTCTTAGAAAACAAAACCTTATTATAAGGTTATAGTATGTTCTGTCAAAGTTATATATTGCAAGTTTTGTAAATTCCAACAGCAGAACTGCAACCTTTTAGAATTATTAAGAATAGAGGAAATGCATGGTTTGAATGGACAGACTTCTATGCAGCAAAACATATTTCTTTGTAAATGTTAACATTTTTAAGATTRAAAAGATTGCCATTCAGCTGTCATTCATTGAAAATCAATCTTAGAAACTTTATATTTCAATGTGATCTGTCTTGTGTTGGGGTCTATATTTAGGTTAATTTCATAATCTCATTCCCAGTCCTCTACTCAATCTCAATTTTTCAGTGGCAAATAACATGTGTTTACGAAGCAATATGTAAGTTATTCTCTCATTCATTGATTGGCAGTTACATTTGTTATTAGTAAGTTTGCATAATTGAATTTAGTTATCAAATAATTCAACAAAATTGAATTCCAATCATTTGAATTGGAATTTTAAATTTTGTTCCGAAATTGTACTCACAGGAATACCCTTGTCCAGTACAAAACCAATCGACAATTAATCAAAAAGATTTGTGTGTGATTAAGCTCAACTGATTTTTGTTCAACTTTGTTGAAATAAACACCAGGATTTGTAATCAATGTTAAGGCTAATTTCTATTAAATGTTGTCTACATAGGGGGAGCTAGTAAATTGAACAAACATATGAAAAGTTACTGCTCAGCAATAATTAGATTACTAGTTAAGATAGCAGCCATGATATAGAATGTTGAACTTCTTCTGCAAATATACACATTTCAATCAGTATCTAAAGGCCCAGTTT